GAGGGAGAGAGAGAGAGAGAGGGAGGGAGAGGAGAGCGAGCGGGGGCGGGCGGGGACTGGACGCGGGGCCGGGTGGGCTCCGCGCTCCCGACGCCACCGGGCCGTGGGTGCGGGGCCCCGCGGAGGGGGCGGGACGCGCACGCGCCGGGCCCTGGCTGTGCGCGCTCGCGTGAGGGGGAGGGAGGCGCGGGTGCGAGCGCATGGGAGGCGCCCAGCATCCCGAGCCGGGCACTGGTCGCGGCGGCGCTGGGAGCTGCACGGCGGGCTCCGCACGGCAAGGGCTCCGCACTGAGCTTCTGCCTGCTCCGGGCTGGGTGCCGCCCGCGCCCGGCACGCGGAGGTGTAGCTGGCGGAGCCGCGCGGCCGCAGAGGACAGGACGAGAGGAGAGGTATAGGCGACACCGGGCGGCCGCTCGCTCCCCTCGGAGATGCGAAGGATTATGCATATTTCTGCCCTGCTCCCTCCGGTTCTGTGGGGACTGATCTTCGGGGCTTCCGCTAACAGCATCCAGATCGGTAGGTGCCTGCGGGCTCCCGGCCGTGCGCCACTCGGGCTCGTCTTTGTTTGCCGCGCACGGACGGATTCACGTCCTGTAGACCTGGGTCGGGCTGCGACCGCGCTCGGGTGCCGCCGCCTGGACCGGGAGGGCGCGGGGCGCGGGGCGCGGGGCGAGGCCGGGCCCCTGACCGCCCCGTCCCGTCCCGCGTGTGTCCGCAGGCGGGCTGTTCCCGAGGGGCGCCGACCAGGAGTACAGCGCGTTCCGCGTGGGCATGGTGCAGTTCTCCACGTCGGAGTTCAGGCTGACGCCCCACATTGACAACCTGGAGGTGGCCAACAGCTTCGCCGTCACCAACGCTTGTGAGTAATGACTGTTCCCGGCCGGGCGCGCGGAGCGGGGTGCGTGTGCGCGCGTGTGTGTGCGTGTGTGTGCGCGTGCTGGGAACTGGCGTGGGTGCGCAGGCGGGCGGGGCGGGGCGCTGGGAGCGGCGGCCGGTTACGTAAAGGAACGGACGGAACGAACGGAAGGGAACAAACGGCGCCCACGGAGTGGGCTCGGCGGCGGCCGGCGGGCTCGGCCATCTTGGGCTCAGGCGGCCTCGGGGCTCGCGGGGCTCCGTCTGCTTGCGCTGCCCTAGGGCGAGGGCGGAAAACGCGGCGGAGCCCCCGGAGGCCGGGACTGCGGGGCGCGCGGGCGGAGAGGGCTGCACACGCCGGGCCGAGCCCGCAGACCCGCGCAGCGCTCTCGCCCGGCCCGCCTGCCGCCGGATCAGCGCCCGCCCCTGGCTCCCTGGACGCGTCCGCGTCCCGAGCCCTCAGCTGGACGTGCGGATGTTGCGGATGTGTTGAGGCTCAGAGCACCGCGTCTCCTGGGGAGGCCAGGCGCGGGCGCGCGGGCTTGCAGGTACTCGCAGCTCCGCCTTGGAAAGCGCAGCCCGGGAAGCTCATCGGTGCTGAAATAACGAGGCGCTCACTGGGAAGATGACCGATGTGACCGACCGGCCGCTCACCAAAGTGCATACTCTTCCATGCCAGGAAGTGTTGAATCACGGTGCTGAGCTTTATAAAAATCAAAGATGGTGGTTTATGTTAGGGTCGATTTTGATCTTCGATCTCCACATTTTTGACTTTTTTCCCCGAAACGTCAGTTTTATTCAAGTAAGAGCTATGGCCAGAATATACATATATTAAACACATTAAACTCTATTGATTTTTCACAGAATCCGTGCATTCACGTAATATGCACATAGATTTCATTTATTTAAAAATAGCTTCGCAATTTAATGCATTTGACCACAGTTCTGAGAAGGTATATCAAAATTTCATTTACAGATTTTATTTTCTTCAGAAAGAGAAGCTGAAATAAAAAGGTTTTCCCATGTCTTCGTGTCCTGCAATTGCACTTTCATGGATTATTATTCTAGGACACTAACACAAATTAGTTGGAGGAACCAAATGCACTTCACAGGTGCCAGCATCGAATTCAGAATCTCAGCATTTCCAGTTCCTAGGTTATAAACAATCTTACTGATGGCTGCAGAGAGCCAGGGGGAATTTTCTGGAGTTGATATTGTATTGAGCAGATCACTTCATGGTTGTGTTACTCAGTTTCTTTACTCATTCAGGAATTTCAAATATATGAAATGGCAATGATATATTTTGTGACCCTCTTCTTTTTTTTCTGGCCCTCCCTCTTTCCCTCCCTCTCCTTGCCTTCCTTCCTTTCTTTTGCACTGAAAAGAAACTGTAAAATTAGTTTTACCTCTTTAGGGGGGGTTATATGAATTACCACCACCACAAAAATCAACCATCGAGAAATGGATGGAATCTCCAATATCAAATTTGTCAAGATGATCTTGACTATTTAATTCCTGCTCAAGGCTTTTCTCAGTGCCGTATCCTTTGTTTCTTTGCCGTTTTAGGGCAGTTCATGATTCATTTTAGGTAAAATGAAAGTAACAGCATCAAGTAAGTTGACAGCTAAGACCAAAGCATCTTTTCCTCACTTCCTCCAGAAATACAGGGAATTTTACTCTAGTTCCATTGCTAAGTAGTTTGTATCATCATTCCATGCTCATAAGGTATCTTGTTCTTCATTTTAGTTAAGCTATACAATCCCACAGGGTTAAACTTACATACCAAGAAAAGTGCAGTTTTACAGTTTAATGATAGTTTCAACATAACACAGGTGTTTGCCTGCTAATTTAATTTTATTCCTGTGATAGGAAAGCTTATTTAGGTATGTTGTGGTTGGCATGGAGCAAAAGATCCAAGGAGATCTGCTGAATGGGTTAAGGGTTTGCAAATGAAATAAGGTAATTCTAGTCTGAGCCAGGTAAAATGACTCCATGCACAGCCCCAAGCTCCCACACCCTTGTTTTTCAGAGTCACTGTGGGACAGTCAAAGTGCCTGCCTGTTCCCTTTAGTTTCCATGAATACCTGTGGGAAGAAAGATGGATTTTCAGGGTCTGGCCTTCATTTCTTTCACTGTCTTTTTTCTTTCTCCCTCCCATCATTCCTTCTTTCCTCCTTCCCTGTCTAACTAGAAATAGTATTAAGGTTTGGTTTTTTTTCTCTGTTGTTCAAAGCTCGCATCATGAGGAAATGGAAAGGGGTTAAAATTGGGGAAAAGAGAGATGAGAATCTGTCTAGCCATTGAAACCCTTGGTGGACCCCAAGAATCATGCATTCACTCATTCCTTCATTTGTTCATTCCTGCAGTAAATATTTATTGAGTACCCTCTGGTAGTCAGAGAATAAATGAACGGTTTCCCCCTCATTTCCACTCTTTACCCCTTCTCCACTCATGTTTTTCTGACCCTTTTCCTCTGTGCTCTAATAATTTTGTGTTTTTGGTGAAAAGGAGAAAGGAGTTGGAGACGGAAGGGCCTCATCACCTAACAATCTCTGTCTTGCCCCAGGTCATGCGCAGGTGTGTTAGGTAAGGTGGGCACAGGGCACCTGAAGAGGGAAGAGGGCCACTCAGGCTGTTTCATCCTTCATGGGCACGGAATGCTCTCTCCCTCACTCAGGAGATGAAATTGAACTCTGACTCCCCGGTGCTGGCATCTGCACTGAGGGGTGCTGAGGGTGCAGTATGTGCCCTACACCCAGGAAGTCTAGAGAGGGAGAAAACCTACCTTCCCATGCTGGTTATGATTCCCACTTGCCTCAGCTCAGCCCTCCATCTGCAGGGCCTGAGGTACCATGCTGGGTAGTTGGCAGGGGCGTCCGTCAAAGGGAGCTGGATGCTTGAGCCTGTCTTGTCCAAGAACTTTAATATGAGAGTGTGTAGGTGTTCTAGCAGTTCTTGAACACAAGCAATTTATTACAGCAATTAAAAATGTGAATTTTATGAAAATAATAAATCTGTTATTGGTGTTGGTACATAGATCACTTAGGAACACCAACTGGAGATTTCAGGAAAATGCATACCATTTTCAACTTCTGAATAATTTTAGTAAACTTTAATGCTGTAAGAGTTGTGAACATGAGTGTTGCTCTCATAGGATTTGAGGATAAAAATATTAAATATTGAACTTTTCAAAATCTTCTGTTCCTAATTTTTTTGTTGAATGACAAAAAGCTATTAGTCTAGATAGCAATAATTTAACAACTTCATATTTAAATTCCATAAAAGGAAATAAGTTATAAAATATGAAATTTAAAGAAACAGCAAAAAAGAAATCTACTTTTTCTCTAAGCCAGCAGATGGAGATGTTGGAAAAAATATTGTTTTTCATAGAACTGTTGCACACACTGATTGTCTTTCAAAACATTGTACACAAAGTTAGAGAAACTAAAAATCATAAATGGCATCTAATTTGAAGAAATTCAGTTAAAATACTATGTTTCAAAAATAACTTTCAATGTAATTCTCATAAATTTGGTTTATAAAGATATCTAGGCTCTGAAGAGATTATAAATACTCAAAAGAAAAAATTCTAAAATTAATTTTTTCAGGTTTTAAAGCTTGATTCCCTAGGTATCATTTTTGAAATATATTTCTTACCATTGAATTTTTGTCATGAATTACTGAGATGGTTTATCAAGTTATTTGATATTTGCTAAGCCTTTATTGCACTTTACAAGAGTGGAATTCTGTGTGTGATATAAATAGTTTAGAGATTGCCTGGGGCATTGCATTTGGTCATTTTTCTTGAGTTATATACTAAAAATTAGAATTGCTGGCTTTAATATATAAAAATTGCTTGAAACCAAAATCAAATTGGACATTATTAGGCAAGGCTAAGACTTCCTGGTTTGAAAGAAGAATGAATGCAAGTAGGACGTGATACTCTACAATCTGGTGTTATAAATATTCAGTTACATTCAATTAGAGATTTAGAAGAAAAACTACATCTTTGGGTATCGGACTAATAATTTGTTATTGGATTATTTGTAGTTAAGCTTTTATTCTTCACTTATCACAAAAGAATTTCAAGGAAAGGAGGAATACACTAGTTAGAAATCAAAGAGTATCACTGGTTAAAACAGTCCGGTACAGGGTGAGTGAAACTACGGGTGTGAGTGAAAATGAATGATGAAACTGTGAAAGCCTGAATTAGGAAGACCGGGTCTCCATGAGACTACTATGCAAGTCTCGCACACCTGATTCTGCTGACGGAGGAGGCCCTGAGCATGTCCTGTCACAGCAGCCTGCAGCGCTGTGGGCATCCTGCTGGCAGGACAACAAGCCAGCGCTGACCCACACGGATCTTGCATTCTCACAGGATGTCTTCAATAACTTTGTAAACTCTCAAACTTCTTCAGACCTTGAAAATTCTAAGAAAGGCTGAGGAAAGGACAATTGATTCCTAACTACTCCAGCATGTTTTGCTGTGTAACTGCTTTCAGAAAGTGTGTTTTTCCTTTTCTCTCCTCTTCCCTCTCTTTCTCTTTGTTTCAAAAAAGTCCGCAAATGGACTTAGGCTGCAAAGTACATGCTACTACAGGAAATAAAATCAAAATTGCAGTAGGGAACTATATTTTGTGTGGAAAAACTATTGTAAGGGAGCAGAGGGTACATTCCAGTAAAAGGTAATATCTTGTGTTAGTTTTAAACATTTGATAGGGATGCTAATGAGCTCCCAGTGAATTGTACTTCTTTTCTTTTGAAACTGCATTGTCCTGAAGATAGGCCAAATTCCATTATAGTATCAACTCTTCTCTTATGGCAACTGTTAAATCAGCATTTCTGAGGTCTTTAGTGATCTAAATAAGTGCCAGACCTCATAGAGGGCTCTACTTCTTCAGCACAGTTGGAAAACAACTTACTGAACTCAAAGTTACAATTTCAAAATCATCATGATTAAAAAACTTTAAACATCAGTGTTTTTCAAGACAGCTTTTACTAATT